TGTTATTAACAGCAATTTATCATGGATACTAATTTCATTACAAAGCACATACCCCCAAATAACTCAAATCTCCTTCTCTATCTTTTATATTTTGTGTATCTTTTCTTTAAATTAAATGATAATGTCTTAATAGTTTGTCATTTACAATGTAATTGAGCTGGTTTGCCTAAAAAAGCTTTTTGTGTCTATTGAGCTTTTCTGAATCATGCCTACAAGTTTCGTACAGCCCTTCTCAAAAGGATTTGGCCACATTATACTCATTAGCATTGATATATTTCCACAAAATAATGCATTTTACATGTTAATGAGCAGAGTGATAGTTTTGCAAATGTGCAACCCTGAAGTCATCAAAGCATTTGAAGAATGTTTTTGGTTCTCTTTACTGTCTTAATGCAGAAGGATATTTGTTAACTTCTTTTGAAATGATGTGATCGCCTAAGCTTGTAGGCAGCTGTCCCTATTGTTTGGTTTCCCACTTTTATATTGATTTTGCCCAAGACAGGAATCCTTTGTGTTCAGTTTAAACTTTTCCGCATCTTCAGTGGAAAAGTAGTGACCTAAACACATGTGCTTGTAGTATCAAAGATCCAACTACCATCAGGTGGCCTGGTCACATTTCCTGGCTAGCCATAACCCGGGCTACAGGAAAAACAAGAATATTCAGGGGTCATTGGTTTGAATATGGAGCCCTAATATTTTTGGAATATCACTAAGGACCCTCTAGGTTTATAAAGAGATTCACGCTTCATGTTTCTAACTTCACATACAAGAATTATACATACACATTTTTCCAAAAAGCATCTTGGAGTTACACAAATCCATAGCCATAAGCCAATTTCCATGAAGCATAGGGTGGCCATGACAATGTGATAAGGCTAAATAAAACATTCCTTTACATTATAATTTTTTCACTAGCATTTAAATGTTTTGATAGTTGTGGCTATGGCGTGCGGCAAGTATGGCAATGTTAATGCTGTTAGTGCTGTTTATCTTAGGGCTCTGTTAGCTGCAATAGCACAATGTGCAGTTGGCTGATTCAACAGACTTCAGTGTTGTTTGTGTAAAGAGACCACATTCTTGATCCAGTGAGAGGTGCTTGGCTTGGTTTATGGTCTACAAGTACAGTACTGGTGCCCCATAGGAGCTACAAGTACACTATTACTTGCATGCTTGCAAGCAGGTACCAGTTAAATCAACATACTGATATGTTGTCCCCTTGACCAGTTATAGATGCCCATTTTATTACTTATACTTTTATACATAGATACAAACTAGTTAGGTGTCACAAGCCAAGCGCTGTTAGTTAACACCCTTGTACTTTGTATCTGCTAATTGAAACAAAACCTACTCATCTGTTATCCCACCCTTTTTCTATGAGGGATTGATCATGTGTTTAGAGGGTCATTTTTTGTATAGTTACCTGAGAACTCTGAGTCATCTTCTACCATTCTCTGAGGTCAGAAATATTGACTAACACTTAGGGCTCCAGACAAGTCTACAGTGGTGAAATTCCTATTCACTGGCAGTGGTAGGTTCAATAACTGTGCCACCATCAATTTCTGGCTCCAGCTATGCTCTATGACTATGGAGAAGAATCATGGAGTATTAACATTTTCTTCTGTAAATCAGCTTTCATTTAATTTGATGCTTGGTGCTATTCTCTGGGTCCCTATTTCCACCTCAAATTTTTATTACTTTAAGTTACTTCTTGTATTTCTAGATGCCCCACTGCTTTGTCTTACATCCACCAATGGCCAAAAAATACACTGAATACTCTGAAATAAATATTTTATTATAGAAAACATTTTCTATTTTGTATGTTTATCAATAAAGTATAGAAAACATCACATCCAATAAACATTCCTCCAACAAAAAAAGTAAATGTTTATTTCAGTTACTTCCATTATTCTACATTTGTCTATCTTAGTATGTCTATAAAAATATTTCCCCTTTTGAAATTTGCTGGGGATACAGAACAGAAACTAATGTAGTTCCCTCCGATCTTTGGAAATGTACGTGGCACTCCTGCTCTTGGGTGAGTTGTTATAGAAATGATGCTAAAAGCTGGTCTCTTTTATTCTGTCTTGCCTAAGTTCAAAGTCACAGCAGTCATTCATTCTTTGTTGTTGTCCAAAGTAGTGTATTTTAATTCTTTACTAATTAATTTTCTATTGTAGTCCATTTTAGAAATTGCTTCATGTTCATGATACTTTGACAGGAAACACATTGGATTCAGGAAAACCTATTTCACACTACATTCTGGAAGTGTAAATTCTTGTTTTGTCTAATTGTTGTTTATAGTTTAACTGATTGTTTAGCACTCACTAGACCATAATATTATAATTCGTTTACATGACTCACCATATGTTTGATAAAGCAATTATTTTTCTAATTGTTTGTTTGTATTACTTACCATGAGATTTTGAAAATACTGTCTGGTAGTGCCTGAGATGCCTTGAGAGATGCTGCAGCTATGGGCTTTATAAGTTTTCCATAAAAATGTTTTATTATACAAAATCTGCAGGGCTGCATGAGAATTGGGTAGTTTTATATGCAGTTACCTTATGTGCATGAACAAAAATATGTTTTGCATGTACAGCATTTGTACGTTCATGTTACGAACTTTGGGAAGGTGTGTGTGTGTGTGTGTGTGTGTGTGTGTGTGAAGCTACTTTTGGTGTAGTCATGTTAAACAGCATGTCCACACCCTGGAGTCATTTAATCATGTTATAAATTGACTTTTTGGAGTGTGAGGTCCTCATTTGTACATCTATATGATGGCCGTGCTAATATTTAGTGGCGTTTTCATCATTTTAAGTAATGGATTGCATAAGTAAATGTTTTGAAACAAACAAAAGGTAACAATGTGCTTTGCACAGTTTGTCAACGTGTCAAAATTAATGTCAAGGGCACACTTTTATAGTCCTACTTTTTTACTTTTTGTTTTTCTTTTACATTTACTTGGTTATAGGGGATAAGTTGCTAGAGTGTAATTTTTCTTACTAGCATACTCATATTTCAAGCAGCATAGATTTATTTCAATCAAGATGATGTAAATCACCTGTTTTAATCATGATCTACATGAACAGCAGTAAACCTTGATTTAAATAATTATTTTCAGTTTTTTTGCGTTTGTACATCCTGGATATTTTTCTAAAGCAAGTTGGATTCTCTTTGCTAGTAACGATTAAAGCATATTGATTTGCAACTAAATATAGCCTTTGCACTAAATTTGTTACTTCCTTCTCCTAACCAGGATGATACACTATCTGTACTCTTTTATTTAAGGAGTTATGTAGCTTAAGTTTCATTTATTCAGGTTCTTAAATTTTATATATTTAGTTTATGAAACTGTTATTTATTATTTACTGTACTTAAACGTTAAACACTTTTTTGCTGATTTGTGTCAAGTCCTATTGTGTGGAAATTCAATGAAAAAGCAGAGAAGAACATTTTAATTTTTTGTAGGGATATGAGCGAGTAGATGATTAACCAGTAAGCCTAGGCTTATCAGTTAATTTAGTTGACTACTCACATTCTCCCCCCTGCTGCCTCTGTAACAGAGACCGTAAGAGTGGTGAAGCAGAAGTCAGTGCTGGGGGGAGCCAGCTTAAAGGCTAGTTCCCTCTAGCACCTGCTCTATGGTGCTGCCTATCCCACCTCCCAGCACTTCCTCTGATAGAGGCAGCAGTGAGGGGGGAGGAAGGGCAAAGGAAGATGCTACAGGCCCTGGTTTGTTGTGGGCAAAGGCTGTTTCGCGGTAGCAGCCTCTGTCTGTGGCAAGCCTAGACCAGAGGTTGCTTCATGGAAGCAGCCCCTGTCCACGGCAAGGATGTTGGGGGATGTCTGAGCTCCTCATGGACAGAAGCTGGCAGAGAGGGGCTGCTGCCGGAGCAGACTCTGTCCATGGCCAGCCCGGGCCGCTGTGGACAGTCTGCTTCGCAGCAGCCTTTCCTGCCTGCCCCAGTAGTCTGTCTATAGGTGTTTGGGCCCCCAGCAGACAGGAGCTGCTGCCTCTGTATCAGAGGCAGCAGTGCAGGATGGCAGGCAGCTGGCTCATATGGGGAGCTGTTTTTTAGACTGGCTCCTGGTATCCTGTACTGCTGCCCCGACACAGAGGCAGCAGCATGGGATGGCAGGGGGCTCCCCAGGTGTTGTCTGGATGGCACTGGCTTCCAGCCCCGCCCCCAGGGTCTATAGAATAGTCAACTAACCGTAAAGAATTCATGTGGTTAGTCGACCATTCTGTTGCCCACTATCAAACTGATTTTCTTTTTTATTAAATAGCCCTAGATTAATGTTTGGATACCTAGTAGAAAATATTTTACAATATTTGCTTCATTTAAAGCTAACAGATATATTAAGCAAGTATTGTCTGTAGTTGGTGAATTGAACTGATTATTGTTACCATGATGCCTTTCAAGACTTTAGAATTAGTAGATCTCATCCTCTCACAGTTAGTTTTGATTCATAGACTACAAGTTTTCCTTTCTTTTCAACTCCAAAGTGGTTTCCTATATTGGCATTAAGTCATTGAATTTAATTGAAGTAAAATAAATTGAAAAATTGAAATGAAGTATTCTCTCCATGCAGTCAAGTTTTAATGGTATAATCATTTGTCCGAATGTTATGTTATTGCATGGCATGTTTCTTTAGCACTTTTGAAGATTAAGTCCTGCTAGCAGGTGTTCTGGTGTCAGATTTCTTGAGCTGTTGAGGAGCCACAGTGATGTGAACAAGCTTCAGAGATGAAGGAACCCCCACTGTTTTCTTATAGTACCAATATGGAGCTTTGATCATAACTTGCTTTTTTAATAGTCTGTACCATAAATCATTATATTAATGCACCATTAGAATCAAGATTTACTCTTACTGAAGCAATATGTAATACCTTTGTCTTGGTCTGGGAAAACTCTGTAAAATGATTTGTGGGAAAATTGTCCTGCAACATTGCTGTATTGAGAATTCTTTTCTTTTCTTTCTTTCTTTTTTCACCTCAGAATGGCTATCCAAGTTGACAAGTTTAATTTTGAGAGTTTCCCAGACTCCCCTGGTGAAAGGATACAATTTGCAAACCCAAAGCAACTGGAAGAAGAGAGACAGCAGGCGAAAGGTTTGGAGATCAACAGCAAATTGGACGTTTGCTGGAAAATAATATCCTTTAATAAATGCTTGAGATTTTTATATAATATATATCTCAGCCCTATGACACATTTTATTTCATAATTTACATCACCATTTCACAAGGCTATGGAAAAGGAAAACAATTAGAACTTAACATAATTATAGACTTGTTAAAACTGCACTATATTTTATTTAGATTTTTCACGATGTTCAGGTCTTAATATAATGGTTGTCTTAATCTGAGTCATATGGGCACGCTGCAAATACCGTCTGTTTTCCTAACTTTTGGGGAATGGAGAACAGTGAAGGTTGATGTTATATAATATTAAATTAATTTACTCCAAAAGCAAAGTCTGCAAAATGGCAATTAAATCATGATTTAGCTTTTAAAATGTTGAGAGTTGTTTTTTAAAGTTGTGCTTAGAATCATAGAAATGTAGGGCTGGAAAGGACATTGAGAAGTCAAATTCAACCCCATACACTTAGGTAGGATCAAGAAAACCTAGACCATTCTAGATAGGTGTTCATTTAGCTGCTCTTCAAATCCTTTAATGATGGGGGTTGCTCTCTGGGTGGTCTTTTCCTGACCTTAAATACTGTTGTTGTTTTTTTGTTTGTTTTTTCAAAAATCTAACCTAAATTTCTCTGCTGCAGATTTAGCCTATTAATTTTTGCCCTGCCTTCAGTGGACATGTCTTTTTATAAGAACCCTGAACATATTTCAAGACTAATTTCAGGTATTCCTCCATAGTCTTCTTTTCTTAGGACTAACCTTTTATCATTTTTGTGGCTCTCCTCTATTATTTCTGAGTTTGTTGATAAGTTGTCAGAGCAGAATAAAGATCAGTTTCGACCTTGGATTTTGGAGGGTCAGTTTACAGCTTGTGCATGTTTCCAGGCAGCCATAGATGCTGCTGATACTGCCTTACCACTGCAGTCTTTGTGAAACATTCATCCTGGCTGCACATTTCTGGCATTCCAGATGAGCTGCAGAGTACAATACAGATTTATCTTTTGAGGTGTATAAGTTGTTTTCTGCCAAAACAGTCAATGCTTTGTGGACACTGAAAGACTCTTCGCATACAACTCTTCATTCACTAAGAGTTTACACTCCAGCTAAGAGAACAGTTTACCCCGTAATCTTATTCCACACCCTCTTTCTGGCCTTGTTATGCACGGAAGAGAATGTTAACACTTGTTGATGTCACCGGTCATCTTTGGTTATGACAGAAAACTGCAGCCTTGAAATACTCATTTTGACTTTTCAGTTGAAGACCTCTCTCTGATTATATTTCCTCCCTTTGGATCGTGCCTTTCCTCTTTTTTTACTATGCTTTGGAAAACATCTCATAGAACAAACTTCAATGCCAGGAGAGCCTTATCTTCTAAAGGAGAGGTATTACACTGTAGCCTTCCTTTCTGAAATCCTCAAGTGCAACACAACAACAGTGAATGCCTGGTTCAGCTCTTGGAACACATGGATGTATGTAAGTTTGAATGCCAGAATTTTGTTACCATTTGTAGCCAGGCTCCACTCAGTGTACAGCAGAACATCAGAGACATGAACAGTTCACAAATGGAGATTGTCCAGAACTCTGAAATGTTCCTAATTATGAGCAAAAAGATATGGTGGTTCTTTCAAAAATGTATAACTGAGCATTGGCTTATTTTACTGTGCAGAAGAAGAATGTAAATTAATGGGTTCGTGAGGTGTGGATTTGAATGCAGTTAGCTTGGTGAGGGAGGTTTCATGTTTGGGGTACTGAGGCAAGATGGGAAGGTTTTATATATGTGTGTGGGATTGTCGAGGGATAACCTACTCTTGGAGGTCCTGCGACCTTACTCTGCTTTGACTGGGTGACTCGCCCATTACCATGTCACTTTATAGGCTGGCTCTGCAGCCTCAGTTCATACTCATGATGCCCTCTGTTCAGGGCATTGCAGTCTAGTGGCCCAAGTCTACAGCCTAGTCCAAGAGTGGCCAACCTAAACCAGAGAAGGAGCCAGAATGCTGCTTCCTCCTCCAAAAAGAGATTGGAGGACAAAGGCTTTCTTTTCAATCACAGCAAAATAATTGTGTATTAAATAAATCAATATATTAGAGGGTCATCAGTGTTGTGCAATAAATATTAGCAGGTCATCCTGGACTTTTGTGCCCACTACTGACCCATTTCTTTCATAATATCCTAGCCCAAAAGTGTGCTCTGTTGATGTAATGTTAGGCTGTAACCTGTTGGTCAGTCCACAATATTATGTGGGGTTTTTTGGGGAATAGATATCAGAGGACTCTTCCTTTAGGATGTGGTGTCCATGGAACTGAGTGGTCAAGATGCGAGAACTAGCAGTGAGGTGTTCTCAGAAAATGTATCTAGCATAGCTCAGATTCTATACTGGTGGGCTTTAAACAGAGATCATTTTTTGTCTGACCTTTTAGGTCAATTGTATTTTGAAGGAGACAAGCAGTCTGCAGACCCCACCTGTATGTGTAATTAGTTAATCTATTGGTATATTTCAGAGACCTCTGCATTTGAATTATTAATTTTAGGCTGAGAGTGTTTTAGCAGAAAATATGACACTGTTGATAGGAATGTCTACTGAGTGATATAAGCCTTGAAGTTAACTCAGAGAGGTATTTACAACAATGTAATAAGTAGTGACTGGTGAGAGTCTAGATGTGCTTGTCTTTGCAGAAAGGTCATTTATGCTGTGAGATTTAACTTTTTTGTGGATTAAGTTCAGATTAATTTGCTGAAATGTTCTATTAACCCTGCTTTTTATGCTTGGAAGTGTATGTGAGAGAGATTTGTACATTAGGGAACAATGTGTGAATAATTTTCCTTGAACTAATCAGACCTGTTCTATAGCAAAAGGGAAAAAATATGGAGTCTCTATGCAATGTTCAGTTTCTTAGAAATGAATATAGTTTTTCTACAAACATATGCAATGAAAGTTGGGTAATAAAGGAGCCATTATAGCTAATATTACACATGATTCATCATAACGGACATTAATGGCACAGGGTAAAGCTCTTAATGTTGCCTTATGTCAAACAGTTTTACATTGAAAAACTGTAGCTTTGTGTGTGTTGCATATGGCATAAATAAAAAGATGAACTCACTTCTTTATATAATTTTAAGCAAGCTGCCATTTGGGTCCTTTAGAGATTATATTTCTTGAATTAGAATGTTGTAACAATCATAATCTGTTAATATTTTGTGGTGGTGTAACACAATAAAACCAAAAGATTATATTTTGTCACTAGAGATGTCTGCAAATCACATTGGTGTAAGTTAAAGACAGAGTTGCAAACATCTCAGGGTAGAATTTGTCCCACAGTAGAGATAGTATTAAGTTAACTAATCCAATCAATGGCAAACATGATTGCTCTGTTCTGTGAATTTTCTAGTGCATTGTCTAGTTGAGCTTTCAATGTTTCAAGTTATGAGGTTTTCACTATTTCATTTGGGATAATATACCCTGGTCTAATAGTTCTAGAAAGAGAAAAAATATACCCAATATTCAATTCAAACTTTGTTGGGGGGGGGGGGGGGAGGGGGGGGAGAAAAATAGACTCTCTTGTTAGAAAAAACCTGACTGCTTTGCCATTTCACTTTACAAATCTGCAAAGTAATTTTATCTGAAGAATCTTATGAAGATTATAGATATATTGAGATGATTTACAATAAGGAAGTCAGTATTTTTTTTAAGCATCTGGTAATGACATATGGCATCAACAGCAGTTTGTTGCTGTAATTCAGAATTTGAGCAGATGGAACACTCAGATTTCAGGTGGCTATCATCTTCTGTGTATGTATTCTGCCAGAGTTCTGAAGATGAGCCTCTGTATATTCATGTTCCCTGTCTAACTTCTTCAGAGTCTTAGGTTAGGAATTTCCAGATTAGCAGAAAAAACTAACGCTCTGCAATGAGAATATAAGAACAGCCAGAGTAGATCAGACCAAGTATCCAGTTAGCCATTACAGGTCAATGAGAGGTCCTTCCCTCATGACATGACAGCTTAATTGCATAAGAGCCTTTGCGAGGCACCTTACCAAAGACTTTCTGAAAATCTAAATACAGTATATCCACTGAATTCACCACAAACTTGTTGATCCCTTCAAAGAATTCTACTAGAATGGAGAGGCATGATTTCCCTTTACAAATCATCAAATTGCCATATAATTCTTTTATTACAGTTTCAATCAATTTGCCTGGCTTACCAGGATCACTTCTGGAGCCTTTTTGTAAAATTGACACACATCAGCTATTTTCTAATCATCTGATACAGATGCTGATTTCATAGAATCATAGGACTGGAAGGGACCTCAAGAGGTCATCGAGTCCAGCCCCCCGCCCTCAAGGCAGGACCAAGCTCCGTCTACACCATCCCTGACAGATGTCTATCTAACCTATCATTTAAATGATAGGTTACATACCCCAGTTAGTAGTTGTGCAATTTCCCATTTGAATTCCTTTAGAACTCTTGGGTGAATGACATCTGGCCATGGTGACTACTTATTGTTGAATTTATCCATTTGTTCCAAAACCACCTTTAATGACACCTCCATCTAGCACAGTTCCTCATTCATTTAGTTTTTCCACAATGGTCTTATCTTCCTTTAATGCTCCTTTAGCATCTTCAATGTCCAATGACACCATTGGTTGTTTAGCAGCTTCCTGTTTCTGGTGTACTTAAAATTGTTTTGCTGCTACTTATTTAGTTTTTGGGGAGCTGTTCTTTAAATTCCTTTTTGGCCTTCCTAATTGTATTTGTATACTTCACTTGCCACTGAAATGTTTCTTAGTTTCCATGTGGTTTTTGCAGTTTTAACTTTTGGCACTGTATCTTTTAATTTCTTTTTGACTAACTTCCTCATTTTCTGAAATTAAATGCTACTATGGTGGACTGCTTTAATGCCTCCCTCCCTACAGGGATGTTAAGTTTTATGTTACTGTAACTATTGTCAAGCAGTCCAGCTATACTTGCCTTTTGGACTAGCTCCTGTGCTCCATGTAGGACTAAAACAAGA